AAATTGATAAGCATGTGTGGCATTTGGATTTGTGAAGAATGACTCGCGAAATTGGCTCTCTCCTTAAGTAAGTCTACTGTGAATAAAATTTTGCTTCTCACTATAATTTACACAGTCTAGTAATAAGCTCATCAAAGTAATTTAAAAACAATAAAGAATCCACAAATCATTTTTGTCACGAGATAATTTCTTGAAGCATTTTGTTTCTATTTATTTTTCTAGCTTTTGATCACTTTCATCTGAAATATAGAATGTTTACTACATGCAAATCAGCAGGCAAGCATTAAAAAAATAGGTTAGTGTCTCAGTGGGAAAACTAACTGTCATTAATTCAGGCTGGAACAAAAGTTGAACCACCTTAAACAGGCACCATGGAAGAAATAACAATTCTCAGGTCATATTTGATTTACTACATTTACTATGTTGTTCCCAGATATCATCAAGCCATACCAATTGTATTTTTGCCAAGAAAAGTTTGTTGGGTACAGGACATGTACAGGCAACTACCAAAGCAACTCTATTAAGAAAATAAAGGGTATTGATGTGAAGAATAGAGGTAACTGTGTTTTTAATTACACATGAATATTTTAGTATAAGAAATTGTTAGAGCTGAGTGTGAAGACTGGTTTAATTCACATTTTAAAAAATCCTAGCATATTAGTGGAGCTCTGGGCTATATGAAGTGAGAATTATTTGCAGAGAGAGATTATTTCAAGTCTCATAAAATTTTATACAACATATCCAGCAAGTTGAAAGACTAAGGAATGCTCCAGAATGGTGCCAGATGTTGATTTATAAATTTATCTACTTTTATGATTGAAAATGAATGGGCATTCATGGTAGAAAAATGTTAGCCATCGAGAAAGCTTTGATTTTTGGAAGAAAAGGCTGAATTTGCTGTTTCACTTTTATTTTTAGTCACTTCTGACTACTAAATCTCAAATGCTTAACATTTAGTTTGAGTATTTCAAGTACGAGTACAAGACTGGGTTTTTAGGTAAATAATCACTGGGTAAGCAAAAGAGTTTGAAAAAGCTGAAAAATTACAGTGAATTAGAATTTTTTTAGTTGAAAACCCAAACCAATCAACCAACTGACCAACCAGTCAACTAACAAAAATAACTCCCAAATGCTGCTCCACTGGAAAGAATCAGGATTTGGGAAGCCCTTGGGGTGGGTGAGTCCCTCCCCATAGGTATAACAGAACCTAAAACCATATCAGTAATTAAGTGCTTGTTATTGTGACAAAACAGAAAATTAGATTGCGTTCAACACACTGTGTAAATTACAAGCAATTTTCTAATAGTTGGTTGAGTGATAAGATCTGGCTAGATGCTATATGCCAAAGTGATTCCTTTTGTGAGTGATTACCATTTTAGAAGTTGCAACTACGAAAACATCTGTGAAACCTTTAGTGATGTTTCTAATAATGGAGGTAAAATAGACATGACATTCAAACTTTCAGAGTGTCTTTACCATGACAAATGAAGAAGGTAGGTCACAGTTTTAAAAACTTATTTTGCATTGGAAAGGATTCACTCTCTCACTTCAATGAAGTAAGGATTTTGGCATGATAACTAAGATTTTACAAAAGAGGAATGATGCCAACAAAGGTAGCACATCCAATGCTGCAGGAAACAAAGGGAAGAAAGGGCCTCTTGGCTTTGTGGTCAGTTCTTGCAATGATATTTGCAATCATGCTATGTCATTTATGTCATCTTTCATAAACTTAGATAATGTTGCTGTCCTTGGAGATCTTTTTCTTAGTAGTGATGATAGATTTCCATCCATCCAGTCATTCTTTCTTAGACATTTAAAAGAAAACAATTTGGTTTTGGAATACCATACATGATCAAGAAAATGAACGAGGTGAGTTAACGTTATTTGATCCGTATCCTATCTAAGTGCTAACCAATATTGAATGTACACACATGCATGTGTGCACACACACAGAGACATACCACACACAGGCAGGAAGACTTCAAAGAATGACGGCAGAGTGCCGTTGAGAATCCCTTCTTTCCTTTTAAGCAAGGGAAAAATGAATCAAGTATATAGCTGGAAAAGGATATAAGAACAGGAGATGCGACAGATGGTGCTGGTAACCAGAGGAACACACTAATAAATCTGTTAGAGGTAGATTACTAGGATGTCAAAAGACTTCAAAGATAAATCTTTGTGCCCTTTGAAGATCAAAGTGGTATGCTTGGAAAAGGCCCTAGGTGAATACTGCTGGGAGTTTGTGGAGAGGATTCTGGAGTGGGGATTTCAGTTCATCCTCATTCCACTTTATCTTTCTATGATCTGTCACAATACAAAAGATTGACCACTCAGACTAAATAAAATATGGCAGACTTCACTACTTTCTTAATGCTGCCTTAATATCAATCAGCACTATTCTTGGCTTGCTTAGATTTTATTTGATTATAAAAGGGGCAGTCGGGGGTGATGTCAGGATGAGGGCAGAGCTCTACATCATATTTTCTTGTTTCTGTTCCAATTATAGAACATACGGGACCTTTAACTGCTGCCTACATCTGGCATGATAAATTTCCATCAACCTTGGTGTATCGACACGATTAAGAAATCAAAAGTGGTTCACCACCAGCATTATTAAGAGAGAGAAAACAAGCTCTGAGAGCAAGAAGCTGGTTTTAAAATTGCTACTTCAGGAGGAATGAGATTGTCCTGCCTGGGGGAAGAAATGGCCCAGGTCCAGGGGGACAGAAATGAACAAGTCCTCAAGTCTTTAATTGCAATGAGGTCCAGCCATATGACACTGTGCTAGCCTCACCAGGTTAGTGCTAATGATCTTGACGAAAGACTCCTTAAAGAGTCTTAGAATTCACCATCTGGGGTTTTGCACATTGTACAAAAGAGGAGACTTGTCCAAACAAGATGGCACTCTTCACATACATGCATCTCCTATATATTTATATGAAGTTATGAAATTAGCAAAATAATTTGGAAAGAGAGAAAAGAGCTGAGGAGTTCAGCTCAAGTTGGAAATTCATGACAGAAGCTCATTAAACCCCCAAAGACCTCTGTCTCCAAAAAGACAAAAACTACAAGAGGATTTTACTGCTGGAGTAGAAGGATGACCAGTCGATTGAACAATTACTATGATTAGCAGCTCAGGGCTGGGATACTGACCGTGCACCGTGGTCAAGCTGGTTTACACACAGCTTTGTGAGGGAATGCTCTTCAGCCAGAGGGCTGCTTTCATTCATTCCCTCAGGTAACCTGAGGGATGCAAACAATGAGACCTCATTAAAACCTCCCATGGACAGAGCAAGGCTCACTCAGAGAGGAAAGTCATTGAGTGTACATAGCTTTATTGAACAGCACCCTTAAAACAGAAACTGGAGGCCAACCTCTGAGGTGGTAGGAAGAACTGCAAGCTTTAAACAACGTGTCTGTGGTTCACGGGGAACATTCCAAAAGGACTGGAAATGGGAATAAAGGGAAATGATCATATTTGGGGTTAATGGGTCCCATGCACCCTGAAGGAACCAGAACAGCTCAAAGTATTATAGGAATATCTTAGGGTAGAAGAAGTCATGTTATCCATCTAGACGCATCCACCATAAGCACCGTCCGAGCTGAAATGATATAAAATGACCTTCAGTAAGGATGGGGTCTATCTCTGCTCAACATTTGCAGAAAGCAGACCTTCCTAATAAAAGCACGTCTTTTGAACCATTACGTCAGATCTTCCCTAGTTAGATGCACAGACCTCTGTCTTTTAGACCTTACAGTTTATGACTTTGTTTTAGAAAAAAATGATTGAGTCTTCTGGTGAGTCTGAAAGGAACGGCTAAAAGAAATTTACGGAGGGCCCAAACCAAATTATTCACTGTGGATGTTCTGCAGTATAACTGCCCCTCATTTCCACCAGTTACAAAATTAATTTATATGTCGGAAACACCAGGTATTGCCACATTCTGTTTATTCTGCTCATTATACGTATGGGGAACCTCTTCATCTCAAGTTCCCGTTGATGGGTAAAACAGGAACTCAGGGGAAAAAATCAGCAGTGTTCTCGGTCTCACTTTTCAAATCCTCATGAGAATCTACCAGAATATTGCAGTGAAACTGGCGCCTTATTAAACCTCTTCAGGGAAAAGATGAATTATGTGTGTTTTGTGAAATATAAGACTGTATTTTTCTTTTTCTTTCTTCCTTTTTTGCTACTGAAAAGACATTTGAAATCTTATTTTCAATTACTTACTCCAATTTTCTTTACCTTAGTCTTTGCTTTCCTGTGAGCATTCTCCCTGTATTTATAGAATAATTCTCTGGTGCTTAATTCATGGTATTTGCTCAAATGACTTAGAGCACCTCTTGATCTTGGATATGTCTAACACTAACTCTTAGAGAAGTATTTATTTCTCCAGTTCCTTGCTCACATGGGAGTGGATCTTGTGCAAAAATATCAGACACATATCCACCTTTTGTAAAAAAAAAAAAAAAAAAAGTTCTTGCTATTCGTGGAATTATTTATGTGGAAACTACATCTCCAAGAACTTTTTTTTTTCTTCAGTCTCAAGTCTGAGGAATGCCAGAGATTACCAAGAAGAGGATTCTTTTATAGTTGGAGTTTTAAATAATGAGACATTTCAGAATATATATAAGAATACATCATGGCATCTTGAAATCCCAGTTCTTTGACTTCAGTGGACCACTCCAGTTCTATGAAAGTGACTTTCTCAATGAGATAGAATGCATGTGTGTCAATTGTAAAACTGAAACATACCCTACATTCTTATGCTGGACAGATTATAAATGCAGGTTTCCAGAAGTGGCATTGATCCCAAAGCCACTTCAGGCTTTTGAAATGCATCAAAATGAACGAAATTGAAAACTTGTGATGGATATTTACAGACCAGTTTCCAATAATAATATTTTGTACTTGGCTTACACTAGAATATTTTTCTTGCCACAGAACCAAGACTCATTACTAAAGAAAGGGCTAGTTTCATGGTAGGATTAAAACTTACCTCCTGGTAATAAAAGGACTTCCTGAGGAGGGAACAGAGTGGGAGAATAGGGTATCGTTCATGCTGGTTACAGGTCTGGGTGGCCTAAAACAAAATACAGTGTGTATGGAAAGTTAAAACAAATAAAAATCATAAATAAACAACTATTCACTATCCCTTGAGGAAAGGGAATGGGAAGATCAGAGTTCTAGATTGCTCAATCAATATGAAATCTTACTTCTTCCAATTAAATTTTTTTAAGTGCTCGAAAGTTGCATTTCCTTGAGAATATAGAGTTTCAGTAAAACATGGGAAGAACCTCCAGACACCATAGGAATGTTGATCCATGAGCTCTGAGTTAGATGTTTCACAGAATCACACTCTCAAACAGAGAAAAGGTTGTTGAGAAAGCAGCAGCATTACTTCTACTGCCTTCTAAAGGAAGAAGCCTCGAAAACATGATTATCAGAATTTACATCCTTTTGGAAAGAGGAAAATTCCTGAGGTGTTGGAAACTTCTTTTGTGTTCTTCATGATCATGGTCCTCTCCAATATGCCTAATCTGGAAGGACACAGGTTGCTAAATCATATCACACCTTATTTGCCCTTTGTCTTAAGTGACGATGTGATTAAGCACCACAAGGATTTACCAAGTTACTTTCTTTTATTTGGATGAACCATATGATAGAGTATGTAGTGTAAGGTATCCCATAAACCTCACCTTTTTTCTTATGATGAAAGGAAAAACATAAAATCCTATGTTCTTCAGAATTGTTCATGGTTCTAAATGCCACCTGCATGGGGTCTGCCTTCCTTGGTTTTATTTTCATTTCATTCTGTCATTCTTTTACTATCATGAATGTTTCACTTCAGATAAAATGATGGGTTTAAGATTTCTGTCTCATCTCCAAGCCATTTTTAGGTTTATTTTAGGTTCAATGAAAGATGCTGAATGGTAACATGCAATGGGACTTACGAGTTCAGAAGATGGAAAGTGAAGTGGGTATTATTCTGAGTTGGGAAATTTTGATTTCACTATAACACTGTATTTGAGTTTGACCGTATAGAATTTTTTGAAGATGAGACATGAATTACTGTAGCCTATAGAATCAATTTGTTTTGGCTTACTTAAGAGCCATATTTGTAAATGGTTTAATTTTTACCTTAGAAAACTAGAATTAGCTTTGGATTTTACAATGCAGAGATTCTAGAAAAAAGGTAGACTTATTTATCAATATGTGCTGGCTGCATGGGCCTGAGGCTCTGCAGGTTTTAAAATGTCAACACCGTACGTAAAAATTCATTGAAACTTTTTTTCTTGGTAGCAGTGCTAAATTTACAAGTGAGCAACAGGAGACTAATTAAAAATGAGTTATGCCTTGAGTAGAACACATTCACTTTATATGGAGAATGCTAATTTTATACAAATGTCTTCTGTATATTATGAAAAGTTTGGTATATCAGATTTTAAAACTGTGAATAGAATAAAACACCTTCATTGTAGCTTTGCAAAAGGTTGGAAAAAACTTGGCCCCACATTTCTGACTTCCTTAAAAAAAAAACAACCCGACCATCTTGCTCTCACTCTAAAAAATATGAAGATAAAAGTGGATTTAGAATGTTTTTTCACTAGCATGGTGAATTTACTCTCTTGAACCTGGTTGCTACAAAACTGAATTCAAGGTTTCTTAGCAAATGGCTCCACGCTTAAGGTTCACCATAAAACGTTGCACCTGGGATACAGAATGGCTAACCTTGGCACCAAATGATGGTTTTTAGAGGGGCTGAAGATCCTATTTTCTCCACAATCAAATGGAAAGTTACCTTATCTAATAAAATCAGTCACACTGGGAATTTAAAACATATTTAATTTTATGAAAAGGAAATAGAACCAAAAGATGGAGCAAGTCACAGGGGTCCAGTGCAATTTTCTTTCTGAATGAGATCTCCACAGAGAACATTTTAATAAAATTGGCATCTTTCTTGTAAACCAGAAGGGTTCAGCACAAGCAGAATTAGTTTTAACTAGCTTTGCATCTCTCTCTTGTTTTGTGTATCATAGCCACTTATAATTATGGTAAGTTTTTACAAGTCCATTGGTGACTGCTAAACTACTTACCAAGTATCACTTTTGGCAGCAAAAAAATAAAGAATACAGACTGTTAATCATGGTAATATTTACAAGCAATACAATAGCTAAGAACAAATGCCAAAATACCAAAATGTCACCACCTGCTCATTTCTATTTAAGGATGAATTCATGACTGGCAGCACCTCTCTACTGCATGGGTATAAAAATCCTTTGGCTACTGTAAAAGAATGGCATTTTCTGTGAGTCACATGGTTTATTTCCATATGCAAATAGGTGTGTATGTGAGAGAAAGATGGAAGTATCACAACTTGTTAAAAATCCCATTGATTGAACCTCTTTTTACTGTATCTAAGACTACTTATAAAATGTTAGTTTAGTTACAGTCAGTCTGTGCCATATTTTTGCCATTTTTTACATTTAGAAATTGGAACTGAAGTTTTAAATAAGTAATGAAAATATTCTCTAATTTCTTTCTTTTTTTTTTTGAGTTGGAGTCTCACTCTGTCACCCAGACTGGAGTGCAGTGGCCGCTCCCGACCACCGCAG